ATCTTTACGTTAGGAATGTCGAATACTTAAAAATGTCTTTTAAAATAATTTTAAAGAAAATCATTTCAAACAAAATTCGCTTGCATTTAACTAGAAATTCATTTTTAAGGATTCAACAATCGGTTACGCGTGGGGAAGGGTGAACACCCCCACAACACCCAAAATTGGCATCTCTCGATTATATGTTGTCTAAGTAGTTGAATTTTATATATTCTAATCTAGAATTTAAAGTACGATTCTTTTATTTCGATGAATTTTAAAATGAGTGAATTTCTTAAAATATAGTCAATTCAATGAAAAATATTTAATTCACCCGATTTTATTTTAAAAATGATGTCTCCTTTACTATGTAAATTAATAGAAATTAAAATCTAGTCATGTTGGAGCAATTACATTAACTTACGACGTAAAATAACATTGATTTTAATGAATTTAGAAAACGAGAAAACAAATGTATGATTCATGAATGTAACAATATTAAATGTCTTTCACTCCTACGTCTTAAAGAAAATAACTCCAAGTATTTGAAAGTTTTCCAACAGATCACTCTTCATTTGAGACATTTTCCACAAATATAATTTAATTCTATTAAAGTAATTTGTTTACTAGGATAAAAAGCGATATCTTATTGTGTAAGTAACCCTCAAAATGATACTCTAGGTATTTGGAGGAATTTTGTTAGTCACACAAAAAAGGTAGTGCTTTAATTTAAATTGGATAAAATAAAAAATATTTAAATATTTAAAAATATATATATACATAAATGCATCTGAACCAAAACATATTAAATAAATAAATATATATATGTATATATGTATGTATGTAAATTGGACGTCAATAAATAACAATACATATAAAATAAATATAGACATGTAAATATAGACATATATAACAAAATACAATATATGTGTTATGTATAACGTCCTGAATCCCAGGTTAGAAGTTTTAGGCTAATACGAGAGAAAATTGCATAAACCTATTTAGCTTGGGAGAAACACGTGTCCATGAATGAAGTGTTTTGGGCTTGGCTTAGAGCCCACTATGGTTTAAAAAGGAGTATTTTTGAGTTGGGGTAAATCTAAGAAGGACCAAAACAACAATTAACCCCTCCCTTATACCAAAGGCTGATTTTCACTCAATTTTGGGTGATGTCACCAGGTAAGGAAGAAGGGGAAAAGCTAGTCATTTCTCATAACTCATTTTCCTCATCAACCTTGTATTCTTTCTCTATTCAAAATTCATTCTCTCATCTTCTTCATCTTAAGTAAATTAAGGTGGAAACTTGTTAACTATCATTCCTATTTTGGTTTTTTGAAGGTAAGTTTTGAAATAACCTCCTTTAGAGCTTTAAATTAAGCTCTGAACTTTTGAGTTTGGTCATGGTAGCCATGGTTAGGTTTTAGGAGGGACTAATGTTATAGAGCTTGTAGAAGACTCTAAACCATTCCTAAGTTTTAGGAATCTCTTTATTACCTTTCTTAATCTCGGAGGTGAGTTAATAACTCAATTTCTTTTGTTGTTCTAGTGAGAGAAGTAGGTGAAGGCTCCATGAGCAAAGGCAAGGAGAAAGAACTCCTTGGGCGAGCTTGAGGTTGTTTTACAAATCCTAGCTGTAAGGTAACACACTTTTAACCTCCCTCTACTGCTTGTAAGTCAGCATGTGTTGTTTGTTGCTTGTTTTTGGTGTATGAGCTTTTGTGTGCACTTGGGGGTTTAAATGCATGAAAACGAAATTTGTTGTTATTCACGTGTAAAATAATGAACTTTCATGTTCCTTAAGTATGAAATAAGATTTAAACACAATTTGGGGGTCTTGGGGACACTTTAGGAATGAATTGGTAGAATAGTTTCGATACTGCCCATCGAGTGAAGATAAAATTCAAAGGAATCGTGAGAGTAGTATCGATATCCCATCAAGGAGCATCGATTTTGACCAAGTGGTATCAATACTTGGGGTCTGGTATCAATAGTCAGGGCCTTGATCAAAAACATCAATGTTAATTTTGGTTTATGTACTCGAATGAGTATCGATACCAACGATAGAGTATCGATACCAACGATAGAGTATCGATACTCCCTATAGGAATATAGATACTGGGGTATTTTTCAAAACATTGAAGGTAAATTTAGTATTGATACTCAGTCGAAAGATAGATACTAGGGTATTTTTCAAAACATCGAAAGATAATAAAGTCCATATAATAATATGATTATTATTAAAGATCCTTAGTCGAGTATTATTATGGATATGGACAATAATAATACGTTCAAAGCTAACATGGAGTTGATTGATGACAATGAGTTGTCATTGACAGAGATGTCAAAATTGATACATGAGTGTGTTGCTAGTGAACAACATATTAGATTGACTCGCTGTGAGCATATGTCTTGGATTATTGTATGATGGCCACAATATTTCTCATGGTAATGACTATATGTATAATCCTCAAACTTGAGATCATTACTATCTCAACATATATTGTTGTATGTTTTGATACAGTTAAACATGCTTTGTAACTGGTTGCACTATAAAGATTGATGTTGAACATATCACGATATATGTGGTGGGGTGTGAATGATCAAGAAATGATTTGTCCTTCCTACATAATAGGAACAATATCACATGTCGCTTGATTGAGTGAGACTAGAAATGTATGGTCATGCTCGAATAAGTTGATATGAGATATCACAAGTTATTCGTTCATTATAGTCCACTCTATATATCAAGAAATAATAGATGGTCTATACAAGTGTGATTATTCCAAGACTTGTGCATATTCTAGATATGAAAGACAAAAGGATATAATACATAAAAAGAGTTAATCATGAAGATTTTATGTCGAATCATGACTTCTTGTAACTTAGATAATAATGATGTATTACTAGATGTCACTCATTGTTTGTAATTTTAGAATGGTTTTATTAATTACCACTAATGTTACAGGAACATATAGGGTCACACCCTAAGGTTGAAATGAGCAAATATTAAACGAATTTTAACTGTACAATTTATTGTACATGATTGAAGAATATAATTAAAGTTAATATATATATATATAATTTTATTTATCCATATAATAAACGAATATTAAAGAATGTAATTATGATTATAATTTTTTTAATGAATAACTAAATTTGAAATTATTAATATTTGGAATAAAAACCCCCCTAAAGGTTAGGGTAACTCGTATATAAAGTAAAGAATGGTATAGTAGTCGTTTCCCCCCTTAGACGAAATTCTCAAAAATATTGTTTTTGAGAAAAGAAAACATTTGCTCTCAATCGAGTGAACTGCGTATAGACCGAGATGGTTTTGTTATTTTTTAGAAAAACAAATATTTGCTCTCAACCGAGTGAACTGCATAGAGACCGAGATGATTTCGTGGAGGCTTAAGATTCGAATCGATCGTGACTTCACTGTTGAACTACTATTTTTCCAGGAACCCAAGGTAAATCACACATCCCTTCCTCATGAATTCGAGTTTTCATACATGGATTACTAGTGAGATCGTCGGATAATTTTTTCCCTGCGTCATGGGGTGTACTGACGATCCCAACAATTATTCCTAGTATCACAGGTAAACTTACTATCATATTCATATATTTATATCCCAAATATTTTCCTTGCAGATACGAGAACTGGTGAAATTATTTTGATGACTAAATGATTTATTAAGGTATAGAGGCACTTTTTGTATATCTATCACATTTTTCAGTTTCAGTTGTGCAACTTGCTTTTATTGCAGTTGTATTTCGTTGCCTTCTCCTAGCATATTCTGGACAAGCAACCTACCTTATGAGTAACAGGGACCATGTTATCGACGCATTTTATCGCTCTATCCCAGGTTTGTTCTTATATCTATTTTATGTCATTATAATCTTGTCTTATATCTATTTGTTGTTTATAATTATTCGTTTATAATGCATATAGCATATATTGACATGTTTTTGTTATTGCTACTGCTGCTGCTATAGTTGCAAGTCAAGCTACCATAACGACGACCTTTTCAATTATCAAACAAGCCCTTGCACTTGGTTGTTTTCTACGAGTGAATGTTGTACATATGTCCAATAAATTCCTTGATCAGATATATGTTTCGGATATTAATTATATCCTTGTGATTCTTTGCAGTGTCGTTACGGCTGGATTTAAGAACCAAAGCCAAATTGGAAATGCTTATGGTAAGGTATCATCCCTTCCTACTTTTTATCGAAGTTTCTTAATGCATCTTCTGTTTTATTGGAAATTTGTCTAGTAGAAAAACTCACATCTTATAATGTCTAAATTTATACGAGATTTTTGTGTAGAAAATTTTAATGTGTTTGCTGAGAGCCTGAGTTTTTCACCATCGTCAAGGTTTTTTGTTGTGAACTCATGGTATCATTTCGATCGATACAAGTACTTAAGAATTACACTTAATTATATCGTAATCTATGTAAACGCATGAACGACTGTGGTGATCGTCATGTTGGTAACGACGTTGCTTATGACTTTAATCATGCATTTGTATGGGAAAGTGAAACAGAGAGAGAAATAGTCAAATAAACTGTTGGATCGTTTTAATTGTGGAAGATTGCGTTCTTTTTTCACTTGTTTTGTCGAAGAAGAAGAAGACACATGATTTTTTTATTATTTTTAAAGTGTCACGTAAAACTTCTGTCAAGGAGTTACGGAAGTTAACAATGAAGGGATTTAAACGAGATAGATTGATAACGTAAGAGATCATTTACCTTTAATTTTTAAATTGGTGACCAAAGTCGGTTATACCGAAAACAAATAAGATCATTCGCATAGTTTATCAAAAGTTAAAAATATCACGCTAGCGGTTTTGTTAATTTTTAATGGTGGGTATCAAATTGAAACCTAAACTAAAAGTTAAATATAATTTTAAAAAATAAATAAAGTTTTGGTATAAAAATAGACCAAACGTAATAATTTAGTTATTGAACGTGTAGTTTATCCAAACAAGAAACAAAAAGGTCGAACGTCGGACACATCAACTCACCTGACCTCCGTCTCCTTACACCCCTAATATAGAAAAGAAAAAAGAAAAAAAGAGACGGAAGTATTTGATAGACGCGGATAATCTCATCGTGATGATTCTCGCAGTGTTATTCGCTAACTCTGAAGGTAATATCCTAGTTGAACGGTACGTCTCCCCCAGGTTATTTCCTCATATCGTTTCTGCATTTAGCTCTTTTGTTGATTTTTTCTAATATGCTATTTATGTGTTGTAGTTTGATGAATTAGTTTGTAATACTTGAATCTGATTTATATATATGTGGTTCTTTAATGGATCTTTGGATTTTGTTACGAAAACCGAATATTTTTAGTTTACTTTTTGGATGGGATTTGATTTGATAGAAATTGGAAATGGGTGAGATTGGGGGAAGCTCGTGATCTGTTGTGGCTGTTCACAAGGTATAAATCCTGCTTTACAGGTAGAAGTAGAAACAAACAAGAATGATGGTAATTTGAGATGGATTCATGCATATGGTGTTTCCTTTGAGTTGATCAAATGATCATTCCACCAATTGCCGATGAAATCCTACTTTTTCTTCTCATCTCTTTTAATCTTTCCTGGGAAAGAGATTTGGGGATTTGAACCTAGATTAAGCCTCTGATATATACTTAATAAACAAGTTAAGAGAATACTATCTATTCCAAGTTCAACCAGTTCCTAAATCAAACCAACATCATATAAGGAACATATAATTTCAAAGGTCTTGAAGGACTGATCACAACTTTTCTTATCATCCATATATCAATAAGAGAGGCGCGTGCTTAAGAAGAGTAGCTAAGGCACATAACCCAAATATGTTTAACAGAAAAAGAGGCATTTGATTACACTTCCACTTTGAGTGGTTTCTCTTTGGACATTATCCACGACTTTCTGTTTCCTATTCGCAAGAATCCTACCACTAACAATGGTCTCAGTCCTGTGAGATTGAAGTAGCCTGTACTTGTATAAATATTGGTCTGTCCTTTTGAGGAATATGCAGTCGAACTTCCAAATTTGTGTTCAGCTTGATATCTTACCTCTTCTTGATAACATAGTTGAGCATTACCTCGGGGATTATGTTTTATTGCAGCTTTAATGGTGTTCCTGTTGAGGAACGGCTGCACTGGAGAACTTTTCTAGTTAAACTGGGAGCGGAAAATCTTAAAGGTGTTAAGAATGAAGAGCTTCTTGTTGCTTCTCACAAGTATGAATATCCTTAATCCTTCGTCCATTTTCTACTTTTGTATCTATCTTGTAGCTATAATGCATGTTTTCCATCTCGAAAATGCCTACAAGAATTATTCAATGGGGGAATGAATTCTGGGATGGTTGGAAGGTCTAAATCTGTAGTAAATGATGTTTGCTACAACCAGAAGGCTTTATTGAACCACGTGAAACGCTTGCATGAGTGCATCTGCCATTAGCACAGAATTGCTATGATTTTAGAAGTTTTATGGGTTTGCACCCAAACTTACCAACAAGGATGTTGCCCGCTGCGAGCATACTATTTTGTTTTAGTTCTGATGTAGAGGTGTTACACATGTAGCTAAAGTTAACTAAGTTGTAGATAGCATTATCAGCTGATCAACAGTTCTGATTTACTGGATTTCTTTCCCAAACTTCCATCTTTATTCAGGAAGCCTTGTAACTTTAACTTGAGGAAAACCTGTTCTCAGAGTAAAACAAAACATACAGTCTCTACTCTGGAGTTAGGATGTGTTATTGACGGCAAATGAGTCCTAATTCAAAATACATTTTTCAAGCAGTAGCATTAGTTTTTTGCTACTGTCTTTTTTTCTGTCCTGAAATTAAGTTAATCCCTGAAGTTAACTGACCAGGGGCACAGGGTTCTTGTCTTTGTTGGTTATCTATAGATCGGTGTCGAAAACTTAAACTTGATTATGCAATAAAAGTTACCTTATAATCATAAGTTTGACCGGGGGGAGCAGTCTACTAATGGTATTACTGTGTGAAATATATACCGTGATACATGACCTCAATTTCCCAGTTATTGCATCATCAAAAAAGCAATATAATGTTTTATCTTCAAGACCTAAAATATTGTAAGAGATTCATAATATACACATTTAAAACTATAAATGAAAATAAAAATGTTATTAATTTTTGTGGCTTAGGATAAAATTTGGGAGTTCTTGCATCATCCATTGGATAAAAATATTATCTTTTGACTAAGAGATATCAGTTTAAAGAACTTAACAATCGTGTTCTTTTATCAGGTCATGTTATTAATTTTTGTGGCTTAGGATAAAATTTGGGAGTTCTTGCATCATCATTGGATAAAAATATTATCTTTTGACTAAGAGATATCAGTTTAAAGAACTTAACAATCGTGTTCTTTTATCAGGTCTGTTTACATTGTTTACACAGTGCTCGGAGGTGTCAGTGTCTATGTAGTTGGCAAAGATGAGTATGATGAACTTGCATGTAAGTATATCTTGCGCTCTTTACACATACAACCAAAGTTTGTGAGAGGTGAAGAAGTTACAAACTTGAAACTCCTCAACTCTAAATATGTAGTTTTCGTGCTGTTTGATGTGAGAGAACTTGATTGGGTCATGGGTTCTTTACTTCTTGGATGATTTGCATTTTGAAAAGCAGTGGATTTTCTCTACATTGACTTGAATAAATCTCTATGCTCTTAGTTGGATAAGCTTCTCTTTTACGTTTAACATAGCATCCTTTTAACCCATAGTGTGGTCCATTCTTATGGTCTGTAACATAAGTGAATATTGCATTTTTATGAAATGTAATTTAGTACTTTGCAAAATTAAAGAAAGTTAACACTTCGGTACTTGTAGTGAATTGAAAAGGGTATCAAATATATCGTCTAGCATGGTGCATTAGGTTACACAATACACACTTGAACTCATTACTGATTTACCACAATTGTTTTGCTCTAGTGGCAGAGGTGATCTTTGTTATAACCTCAGCTGTAAAGGATGTATGTGGAAAGCTACCGACGGAGCGCCTTTTTTTGGATAAGTACGGGAGGATATGCTTGACTTTAGATGAAATTATTTGGCAGGTGAGGTCACAAATTGGTATTCTATCAATAAATAATTTTGGCATTCTTCCTTTGATCAGAAGATGTTGCTACTATTTGTTTATAATTGGAATACACACCTAAGCACCTGTTATATCTCTGAGTCAAGAAACTGTTCCTTTTCGTCTGATTCTTAATCATCATCCAATTGCATTTTCCTTGTTGACTGCTGCTACTGACTTTTTTCCAATTCTTTTTTAAATATTCTCAAGGGATATCTGGAGAACACAGATAAAGACAGGATCAGGAGGTTAGTACGTTTAAAACCTCCGACCGAGTTCTAGGCCAAGAACGGTCTGCGGTCACTGCCTATTCGGAGACAGTAAAATCAGGTCTTGTACCCTTTTGAAAGGCATGGTATATCATATGTCATAGTATGTATTTACCGTGTGAGTGCTGTGTAATATCATGGTTCCTATTCTGACTTACAGATATTTTCAGTTCTCTGGGTTTTGGAGCTTATGGAACTTTTCCATGGATTTTCTGATATTCTCATATTGATTGGAAACCAGCGAAATGTTTTTTTGAGTTGAAGTTTATGACTGTCTGAAAACATTATTGTTCTTTAATACTAAAGTCATTAACTTAGGTCCCGTTTGGCGTGGTTTTTTAAAAGCACTTTTAGGTAAATAGTTTATTTTGTCTGTAAAATCAATGTCAAGCGGGTAAAAAATAAAAAAAAAATTACGGTGAAAATTATGGTTTCAAAACAACAGCAAAAGTTAGGATTTTTAGTTTTTTTTAGTTTCAATTTTGCGTTTGAAAATAAATTATAATTTTACTTTTAGTAATGTATGGGTTGTATTCAATTATGTATTTACATTTTATTTTAATAATTTATACTAGCATCCTTAAAAAATAATATATTACTTAATAATTTATTTTAATTACTAATGCTTTTTTGTAAATTTTTTTTCTGTCAAAACAAGTATTTGAATTATTATTTCATAATAATTTTATATCCACATGTTAAAAAGTATTAATATATTTTTTAATGAAATATTTCATATATAAAAATATTATTAATGAATTATTGTAAAATAATTTTTATATTTGTATCATAGTTTAAGTTAATATATTTTATATATCATAATATTAATAAGTGTAAATATAATTTAAATGTTATATTTTTAATATATAATATAACGTCTATAATGAACATTTTATCTTTTCAAACTCATATTTTAACAATAATCTTAAATTTTAAAATGTACTTCTATATAAAACTTTTAAAAATTCATTTTTACAATACTTTTAAAAATTCATTTTTACAATACTTTTAAAAACATTTTTCAAAATCCACATAAAAGTAATCCTTAATTAAGATTATGAATTTGGTATATTGCGCTTTTTCTGTATCTCATGTTCATAATTGCTTTACGTGTCTCAACTGGATTGTTGGTATCATATTGTATTTGCATATATATATATATATATATATATATATATATATATATATATATATATATATATATAGGGATAGGATCTAATTATACCTAATGTAATTATACTTTTTTATGATAGCTGGATGAGAAAAATCAAATACTAAGATTAATAGTAGAAAATGTGGAGATATTCAACTGGAAAAAAAACAATAAGTTCAACTTTTGATTTCCTTTATCCAACGGTCATAAAAAGACATAAAACTAAAAGTTTTACAATAGGTGTTAGTGGATCATAACCTTAAATATAAAATTGCTTTATTAAATCAAAGAAAACCTTGGAGAAACATGCAATGAAAACCATAAATTGATACCTATTTTTCCACTTATGAGTGTTAATGAATAGAGCATTTGATGAATTATTCGTGAATCATTTATAATGTTTGTTTATTGTTGAAAACATTTTGATGTTTCGATATAATAAATTAGGGCTATTGAATTTTAAGATTTCACAATATTTTTTAAAGTATATTCGACTCAATTATTTGAATATCAAAACATTACTCCAAGTTTTTCAAAGATCAATTTCAATCCTTACTAAAGTGTAAAATTGTGTTTTAAACTTAAAATATTTTTGAAACAATTTTACAAAGTATTTCAAACCAAAATCGAGCCAAAAATCAATTCTATGAAGGGATGTACCGATGCACTCCATGATGCATCGATGCACACCCATTTCGAATGCATTTTGTGTATCGATGCACAAACCATGCATCGATGCACTCTTGAATATTTTGAAACATTGAACACATTTTGTGTACCGATGCACAGACCATGCATCGATGCACTCCTGACTCTTTTGAAACATCGAATGTAATTAGTGTACCGATGCACTAAGTCTTATAACGGTCGAAATATTTGAATTTTACACATAGTGTACCGATGCACCTTGAGTATGCATCGATGCATACACGCTCCCAAATGTTTTGTTTAATTATTTTTCACACAATAACGTCTCTATTGACTTCACCAATGATCCCCAACGTTCAGAATTGGTTCAAGGTGTATTTAAACAAGCTTAGGAGCCATTGATCAACAACAATTGTGAGAGAAACAAAGAGAAAGCTTTAAACATCAAGTTTGAGCAATTCAAGTCAATTTTCATTCAATATTCATTTTTTCTTTCAAGAACATCATTTGTACTCAATTGTATTCATTCTTGAGTGTTATTTCTTTGTTCTAGAATTGTGAAAACATATTGCCTTGTGAGGTTTTTCTGTAAGTTTGCAAATTTGTGTATTTCTCTTTGGGAGAGAGTGTTCTCAAGAATTTGAGGTATAATTCTTGAGGGAGTTGTAAGGTTACTCTTTGTCCTCAAAAGAAAGAAAATATTAGTGAATTTGTTGGAAAATCCTTAGTGTGGATAGCTAAGGTAGTGGACGTAGACTTTGGTTGAGAAAGTCGAACTACTCTAAATCGCTGTGCAAATATTTTCAATTTTCTACAAAAGCTTCCACCAAAATTTTATTGTCAATTCACCCCCTCTTGCCTATTTCGTCGATCGATTAACTCAACAATTGGTATCAGAGCCTCACTCATTTGAAGGTTTAATCACCTCTCGAGTCGATTTGGGAAGAGTTATATCGATATTCAAGTCATCAATGGCCTCCACTTCAAACTTCGACCTTGGTCTTGATTTAATGCCCGTCAACAAGCCTCATTTCTTCAATGGAGCTAATTATGCCTATTGGAAGAATAGAATGAGGTACTTCATTCAAGCAAGTGACATGGGAGCATGTAATATCATAGAAGACGTATACTTTATTCCTTCCACTCATTCAAGATTGTGGAGTTAAGCAGAGACAATAATGTTCTAGCTCAACTTAAAGGCTATCCATATTATTTTTTGTGCTCTTGGAACAGATGAATACGAGAGAGTTTCATCTTGTACAACCGCCAAGGAGATATGGGATAAACTACAAGTCACTCATGAAGACACAGATAAGGTAAAAAAATCTAAAATTAGTCTTTTAACTCATAGCTATGAAAATTTCAGGATGAAACCGGAAGAAGATATCAAAGTTATGACGGATAGATTTTCCACGATTGTCAATGGTCTCAAATCATATGGAGAAATCATTCCAAACGAAAAGCTTGTGAGGAAGCTAGTTTACTCTCTTCCAAAACCCTGGCAATCAAAGAAGATGACAATCATCGAGACTAAAAACTTAAAATATTTAACTCTCGAAGAGTTAATTGGTTCTCTTCTCACTCATGAAATGATGCTTCAATATGAGGTAGACATCGAGAAGATTGACGAGACAAAGAAGGAGAAGGAGAAAAAGAACGTGAGAGTTGCTCTCAAATCTACAAGAGATGAGAGTTATTCGGATGAAGATGACGATGACGAGAAAATGACATTATTTGCCAAACGATTCAGAAAACTAATGAAGCCCAACCGAGGAAGAAAATTCAAACGAAATGAAGGCTTCAAAACTAAATCGAAGGAAAAAGACCCAATCATTTGCTACGAATGCAAAAAATCGGGTCATGTCAAATACGATTGCCCACAGTTGAAGAAGAAGGGTAAATCGAAGAAAAAACACAAGGCTCATGTGGCTACATGGAGCGATGATGAAGGTTTCGATGAAGAGGAACAAAAAGTAGCAAACTTGTACTTGATGACCATCAGGGAAAGCTCTCAGGTAACCTCTAGCTCATTTAATTTAGAAGATTATTCTTTTGATGAGCTGTTAGAGGAATATACTAGGTTGGCTTCGGATTATGAGAAATTATTTTTAAAATACAAAAATGATATTTCAAAATTGAAAAATGAAAATATTCTCATATCCAAGACCAACAATGATCTTGAAAGTAAATTCAAAGATTTGTAAATCAAACTAGATGAGTTTGAAAAGAAAAATATTGATTTGCATAATTTACTTTCAAGAGTAAATGATGATCATCAAAAGAAAATTAATGATCTTAAAGCTTCTTTTGATAAAGTTAGAACAAAACGTTTTGAAAATGGAAAAAGTTCAAAATCCAACTTTGTTAGAAAAAGTTTTAAAAACTACAATCATAGAGGTCCCCGAAGAACCTCTAATGGAAAAATCATTAGAAGTATATGGGTTCCTAAAGAACTCATTACTACTAAAGATATGAATATCCTTCACAAAGGGTACCCAAGGGGACTAGAATTTTGGAGACTAATGAATATGAACCCAAAAGAAATTGGGTACCAAAAATAAAAAAGTAATCTATGTTTGTAGGGAAAGGAGCATTGCTACAAGGGAAACAAGTTCAAACTCATGGTACCTTGATAGTGGATGCTCAAGACACATGACCGGAGACAAGAGCCGGTTCATCGAGCTTAACGACAAAAATGGACGAGAGGTGGCTTTTGGTGATAATTCAAAAGGTCACATTGAAGGTATAACTACAATAGGAAATACCTCTTCCATACAAATTAAAAATGTTTTATATGTGAATGGGTTAAAGTATAATCTATTGAGTATTAGTCAATTTTGCGATAAAGGATACAATGTCTTATTTGAAACAAATAGTTGTAAAGTCATTGACATTGCATCTAATCGGATTATGCTTGTTGGTCATAGAATAGGAAACATTTACATGGCGCATTTAGATTCTATTAATATGACTAATTTATGCATAGTTGCTAAGGATGAGCATGATAGTTGGTTATGGCATAGGAGACTAGGGCATACTAGCATGAGTGTTTTACAAAGACTAATTCAAGGAGAATTAGTAAGAGTGTTGCCAAAGCTAAAATTTGATAATGATAAAATCTGTTATTCATATTCTAAAGGAAAACATAGAAGAACTTCCTTTAAGTTCATTAATGATGTATCAACTAGTAGAGTATTACAATTGATCCATACAGATCTTTTTGGGCCAATTAGGACTGTTAGCTTGGGTGGAAAACAATATTGCTTTGTATTGGTGGATGACTATTCTAGATATACTTGGGTTCTATTCTTAAGTACTAAAGATGAAGCATTAGAAAAGTTCATCACGTTTTCAAAAGTAATCCAAAATGAAAAAGGTTACTCCATAACTAGCGTTAGAAGTGATCATGGTATTGAATTTAAAAATCTTGGATTTACTG